GGAGTGCCTTCTTTTCACAGAGGCCATGAGGCCGGAGAGGTTTTATACTTGGTCAGTGGCAGAACAGAAACTCTAACGGTCCTGTGCTGACACCTGATGCCGAATTCTCTCTTCCTAAACCAGACACGCTGAGGGAAACCCTCATTTTGCTTTGTCTTGTGTTTGTTTGTTTTAATAGTCTTATTTAACTATTACACCCAGAAAGCATAGAAAAGGTGAGAGTAACGGTGAGTTTCCCCGATAGACAGGTCGGTCTGTAGGGCTCTAGAGCGTCCTGGAGCCATGTGGACCAGCCGGGTGGGGTTGTCTGCCTTGCTCTTCTGTATCCGCCCGAGTGAGGTCAGCTGAGAGGGCCCCACAGGCTGGTGTCTCTTTTCGTTTTGGCACATCCCATAATAGGGAAGGAAAATAGGAGTTTTTTAGATACAGGGTTCTTTTATAATATTTAAATATTTTTGGTTTTTGAATGGCTGGGAAGTGTCGGGGAAGTTTGACTGTTGACCTGCACCTGTGTGTGTGAGGCACAGCAGTTAATGCGTCCTTATCAGCAGGCAGCACTGCACCGCACGGCGCCTTATCTGCAAAGACGGCTGTTAGTGGAAATAGTCACGCTCAGAATCACGGCATTCCACACCTGGCGGGGGCAGCTTCTGGACCTCCACTGATAGCGCCCTTTCCTTTTGTGTGTTTTTTTCATCCTCACTCGTGGATATGTTTTTATTGATTTTTTTTTTTTTTTTTTTTTTTTTTTTTTAGAGAGAGAGAGAGAGAGAAGAAGGGAAGGCAGAGAGGAGGAAAGGGAGAGAGGGATATGAAGAGAAACATCAGTCTATCAGTTGCCTCGTTCCTGGACATGCCCCGACAGGGGATCTAACCAACAACCTTTTTGGTGTACAGGATGACACTCCCACTAACTGAGCCACCCGGCCACGGCTCACTTTGTATTTACCGCTGTGGGGTCTCTCCATTGCTCCATGTTGGCCTGCCCGGCTCAGCGACTGCAGCCTCGGGTTTGCTTCCTGAGGACCCAGCTTTCTTTCCCTTGATCTTTTGTTTTTTTGTTTTTTTAAAGTGTTATATTGGTCACAGAGCTGCATACCAGGGTCCCCTGCCCAGTACTGCAGTCATTTGCGTAAAGGTGCAGCGCGGACTGGGTTCTCCTCCTGACCCAGCTCTCGGGAAGGAGGGGCAGTAGGACTCTTCCTGCTGACATGGTCCTCCCTGGTTCTCAGCGGTGATACCTGTCTTTTTGGCTTTAGTGGGCAGCATATTTCCTGCCCTGTCCGCTGATCCCTAGGGACACAAAAGCAAGTCCAGAAGCTGGTTACTAAGCACTCAGGGTAGCCTTTGAATTCTCCAAGGAGGCCGTCCTTGCCGGCCTTCTGTGTCCACGCCTCAGTCTATACCAGTGTTTTTCAAGCTGAGGGTCTTGCCCTCTTAAATCAATTCAATGTCATAACCATCTTTCTTTTTTTTTCTTTAATGAAATAGAACAGAAGAGAGACAGAGCACAGCACATGTAGTCAAGATTAACCATTATTTTGTGGAAACTTTATTATATAAAGTGTATATACCCATATGTACATGTGTATATATGGGTTATAATAAAAATTAAAGTTTGAAAACGTCTCGTCTGCACAACGTTTCATGTGCAAAATTAGCTTGGCGCCTCGAGTTCTAATATTCAACGTCATCAGACCCCTCCTGCTCTCCTGGCCCTGCCTTTGACCCCTGGGCTGATAACAGATTCTGCCTCCCCCTGCCCAGTCCGTGTTTCTGAGTCCCGGTTTGGTATTCTGCCTAGGGCCTCCCCTTGTATGTAGGAATTCCCCTGCCCAGAGCTAGAAACTGGCCTCTGTGCTCCAGTCTGACAGTGCCATGACCACCTGGGTGCCAAGTGCCCCTTCTCCTCGTCTGAGCACCAGCTCTTCCTGGGCTCCTCCCCAACAGGAAATGGAGTGCCTCAGGACCCTGGACGCTCCTGCCTGCTCTCCATTGTGGGATATAACACCCCCTGCTGACAGTGTGGTTCAACTCCAAAACTGTCCTTTTTCTCAATGGCATCAGCATCTGACAATTTAAGGTTCACGTAGGCCACTTACTGCCTTTGTGATCTAGGCCTTATGCCAAATCTTAGATACTTTTGGGTACTCAGCAAGTGTTGATTTTCCCCTTTGTTCTTCTAGACCTATGCCTGGGTGTAACTCTGGTACCTGTTCCACTGGGTCTGTTTTTAAGATGCATCTTCTGTCTGTCTGGCCTAATAAGTAGTGTCAGCTAAGCCACATCTCACCCTGAGCTGAGATGTGTCAGGGAGACAGGTTTTGACTGGGAAGGGGAGACCTCAGAAAAGAGCCCACCCAGAAGAAAAGAAGTAAATGATAAAAGCAGACATAATAATACTCCTGTTCTCAAGCAGCTTTTGTTCTTCCTCTTCTTTCTCTTACCTGCCTGCCTGACAGGAATTGATATGCGTGGGTGCGTTTACTTTTTCTACTTAAAAAGGGGCAGGAAAACTGCCTGCGTTGGCTTCCTCCTATTGCACAGCTGGAGCTCAGCTGTTGGAAAGCAGAGGAGTGCATAGCAAAGGCCCCTTGCCTTCCGTCTACTCTGCACGGAGTGGCTGGGCTTTGGTCACCACTGGCCCAGAGGACTCTCTTCTGGAAGATGTTTTGAGGACATTTCAGTTTGACGTGTCCAACTCCCTGGGTTAATTGAGCCATCTTGTTTTCTGGATTTAATCACTCGGTGGTCTCCCAGGATTCGGAGAGAGCTGCTGGGATCTTTTGAGATTTTAGAATACCAAGAAAGTGACAGAGGAATAGGATGTGTACATCTACTAACCAGTGAGACTCAGTTATCTTTTGTGCCCTTTTAGTGGAAGTTCTTTCCCTTGGTCCCTGCTGCCTGGTGAGTTGCCCTAGCCTCATCCCAATTCTAGGCCCCTGTTCACAGCAGCCTTACCAGCAGCACCCCAGTCGGCCCACCCAAATGGCTGCTGAGGGTAGAAACAAATGCTTATTTTAGCATTATTCTTGCTTCTGCAATAATGCTTTATCTATGGTTATGTGGCCAAAAAGTTTAATAGAATTGTTTATTTTTCTCTCTGACAATTCTATTCTTGCTTAGTTTGCAGATATAAAATGAAGTGTTTTTGGCTGTTGGTATTGTAAAAACCATGGGCTATCTTTCATTCCATTTCACTCCAGCCCCATCTCTCCCAAGGTTAATCTCAGGCTCTTCGGCTCTCTATGAGTTTATTATTGTCTTATAAATAAGCTTCGCTTCCCTGTGCAGCCTAGCACTGAGTGCCAGGCATGAGCCCCGGTGGTCTTCCCACCTGTGTGACAATTGGGTGGGACCTTCAGCTGTCCCATCTCAGCTTGGGTGGGAGAACAGCCCTGGCCACCCGCTCAAGCGGCTCTCCGCTGCAGTGCGCTCCCTGTCTAGCATTTGGTTTGATTTGATGTTACTCCTTTTGTGAGGCTTTGAGGCTTGGAGAGAAAGGTCTCTTCTTGAGTTTCTGGAAACCCAAGGTATAAACAATTCCTCTTCCTCTGAGCTTTATGACCTTGAGTCTGTGCTGTGGCCAGAAACATGACAGCCACCTGGCTTCATCCTGAGGAGAGGTACCTTCTGCCCCTGCAGTGGCTCCTTTTCTCCCCAAGGCTCCCCAGCAGGTGTTGCCGTGGCCTAGGTGCTCTGCTGCGTTGCCTCCCTGTGCCATATCGCTTGTTCCCCCACCTGAGGCTGCTCGTAGGAAAGAGGGAACAACTCACAATTCTGCCTTATGGTGCGGGAGTGACCAGCAATGAATCAGACACGGGCCCCAAATGTGTCCTCCCCATAATTTGATTGTTTTCTTTTCCGGTGGCTCTAGATTAGTTCAGCTTTTTACTGCAATCTGATTTGGGGGAATATATTTACAAGTCTAATTTGTACATCAAAACTCGACCCATTTCATGGCCTGTCAGAGATGAGCACTGTGAGTAATAAATATATTTGCAAAGTAAATTATTAAACCAAAGCAAGGAAGAAAGGCAGTCTGAGTTAGTTACTGAGCACCTGTTTTGTATGAATACGTTTCTGGATACAAAGAAGTGTGAAGGATGCGATTCTGCGCTCACGGATCTTGCAGGCTAGTTGTGGAATGAAAGATGACTAAGATTTTGAGCTTGGATAACTGCTAAGAGTAATAATGATAATAATGGTCAACTAATAAGAGCTAAAATGTATTGACCCTTTCTCCATGTCAGGCATTGTGCTAAGTATTTTATATCCCGAGTTCACACAACCACCTTTGTGAAGCTTTGCAGTTAGGGCAGGGGAGGCTTTGAATGGTACAGTAACTTGGCCAAGGTCACAAAGCTAAGTGATAGAGTTAGGATGTGAATCTAGGTCTCTCTAACTCCAGACACCTGATACTTCATCTGATTCTGAATGAAAAACTGAAGATATTATTGTCTAAAATATAGCCAGAGGATAGAAGGGAAAGCTTATTGGAAGAGGAAAATAACACTGAGTTAACACGTGAATTTGATGGGAAAATCAGATAGTAAAGAGGAAATGCCTAGGAGTTAGCGGAATGGTTCTCAGGATGCAGAACGGCTGGACTATCAGTGAGTCTAGGTAAGAGCCATTCATGTAAGTGATGGTTGAAGCAGTGAGACCAGGACTGTAAGGACTAGGAGTCCAAGACGAGATCTCATCCCACATCTGGGTGTGTGTGTGTTCCCTGCACATCTAACTTGGAGCTCACTGGGTCCTCCTGACAGTTCCCGATGCTGTGACTGTGAGCTCCTCTCCCGTGTAGCTGCTGTGATGGTGTTGGTTTTCCCACCTGGGGCGAACTTCATTTCCTTCTACTCTCCCTTGTCTCAGACATGACGGCATTCTGATCTAATACTTGCCTTATTAGAAGTGATCAAGGGACTGTCCTTGCTGGACACTAAGCCTAGTGGCCCCTTTTCATCACAAATTCTCCTTTTCTCCTGACACAGGCATTGAATGCCCCAGAGGAGCCCGAAACCTCCCAGGCTTGGTGCAAGAGGGAGAGCCCTTCAGTGAGGAAGCAACGCTTTTCACCAAGGAACTGGTGCTGCAGCGAGAGGTAGGACTTCTTCCAGTTGCTTCCTGGATGAGGGGGTGAGAAAGTGGGGCTCACTCGGTCTCATGTTTCTCTGCCATGTCAGAGACCAGCCTGTCACTTTTTCCGGTGCTCAGCCTTCCACATCCATGATCCTTTCTGTGTCTGCCCACATCCTAGTTCCTGGAGCCCTGAATCATTGGCCAGCTGCCCCAAAATTGCTCCTCACCACTGGTGCCCTGGGATGCATGGTGATCACCAGGCCAGCATCCTGATGCAGAGCTGACAGCTTTGCACTCCTTCTGCTTGCGAATTAGCCTGAGCCGTCTGCCTCCAGCTGGATTTAGAAGCTTGACTAACCCTGTCAGGGGCCAATTTTCTTTGAACATTTATTTGTATCTTTTAGTAATTGCATTTTCTATAGCAGGTTTTCGGACTTAATTTAATTGTATTCTGTTTGTGCCTGTTGGGCTGGCTCTTACAGGCAGGAGTTAGGCTTCTCATCTGCTGTGGTTTCCATCTACCTGTTCATTTTTATGAAGTCATAGTCAACAGATCCATCTTCTTTCCAGGACTATGCCAGCCATAAATCAATCCTGCTAGGTGGGCACAAGAAAAGAACAGTGGGAGGAGTGTGCTGGGCTCAGACTTAGGACTTTAGATCTGCTTTTGTCCTCTTTTATTTTACAATCAAATCCATTATAATATCATAATATGCACAGAGCTAAAAGGTTATGGGCTCCTGAAGGTTATCCTGAAGGAGTGAAAAGTCTTTTTAGATCAGCGGTCACCAACCGGTGGTCCGTGAGGTCCGAAAGGTTGGCGACCGCTGTTTTAGGTCCTTCAGATCAGACATGTGGGCTCTTTTGGGATTTTAAGTGATACAGGTACCTATTTATAAGCTTCAGCATCTCTCATTTTGATTTGAATCACCAGCGAACATATTAGGTGTGAGAGGTACTGAAGAACAGGCTAGCTCAAGATGCTTATATAGTGTGTCCCAAAATTCACGCAAGATTTGAATTTTGGGTGAGCATTAACCACAACAATAACAAAAAATAAAAGCCTAATTTTACTTGGTTTATTGAATCAGATTCTAATGTCTGTTGCCCTTTGATTTCAATCCCTTCAATTTGATAAGCATTACCAAGTACCAATTATGGCCCAGGAGCAGGGACAATGAAGACCACAGCTTTGCGTATGTGCCAGCAAAGCTGTGGAGGCCATTTACCTGATGTGCTATTCCATACATAACCCTATACTGTATACTTTATGAATCAATAAAAAATTTACAATTTTTAATTATAAACCTGTGTTTTCTATCAAAATTACTTCTTGTGTGAATTTTGGGACACCCTATATTAGACTAGCCTGGCCTCAAGAAAACCACCACTTTCTGCTATTGGTTACCACCTCTTTGGTATTCTCTAGCTCTTGCTTTCTCATTTTGTGCAAGTGGCATGGCAACAGAAATTCTGAATTCTCAGTCTGAGAGATATGGGTTCCAGTTCTCAAATACCAGCTGCAACCACCTGGTATTGCTTCACATCTCCCGGCCATCTGTACAGTGAGGGGCGGGGCTCAACCCTCAGTTGTCGTATCAGTTTCACGTTGCCCTCTACTTTGTATTTGGTCAGACATATTTATGTTTGTGAAGACGGTATCTTGCCACACATGGTGCCTCCCCTCCCTCTATTTTGTAACCACACACTGTAGCTTGAATTTTTATCAGTTAAAGATAGCCCCCTGCTAGAGAAGTATTCAAGAATTCAAACACTCCAGTTGGCCATCAGTAGTTGTTACAATTTTTGAAGTGGCCCAGGGGTTAGGTAGAAGGGACCAGTATTGTAGAATTTTTCTCTATTTTGGCCTTTGGATAAGGCACTACAGAGCAGTGTCATGTTGGAGAAAGCAGGTTAGTCCATTCAACGTCTTGACTTACAGACACTGCAGAGGAAGGAACAACAGATGTTTGTTTGTTGTTCTTTGGTAGAGGAAAGAAATCACTGTGTTGGATTGCCTGAGACATTTGTTAGTAACGTCCTCATAAATTACTGTCTAAATCACACTATTGTTTTGCCTCCCATTTTTCACCATAGTCATCTTCCTGTGTTTTCTCGTCTCCTAAAGTTTCTTTCCCGTTCTTTTTCAACTCTTATTTCCCCAGCCACTTTTCCTCCTGGTCATGTTTCTGGCCCACTGGTGATACTCAAAAGCACAAGGGGGTCAAAGAGAATACTGATCACTAAGAGGAGTGAAGGCCCAAAGCTCTTTTACTCTCTCATGGTTATTATGAACTTACCTTTGTCTGTATATTTGCTGATACTTGACTGTTGAAAAAGGTAAAATTTTCCTCCATCTTCTCTGATGCTCCAGGCATGTGAGTGAGTTTGCAGATCCTTAGTCTAATCCAGTGATGGCGAACTTTTTGAGCTCGGCGTGTCAGCATTTTGAAAAACCCTAACTTAACTCTGGTGCCGTGTCACATATAGAAATTTTTTGATATTTGCAACCATAGTAAAACAAAGATTTATATTTTTGATATTTTATATATTTAAATGCCATTTAACAAAGAAAAATCAACCAAAAAAATGAGTTCGCATGTCACCTCTGACACACGTGTCATAGGTTTGCCATCACTGGTCTAATCCAAAGCTAATGTTTCTCTTTCTTGTTTGTAGCATCCCAGTCTTTCATAGCCCTAAGTCGGGGCCTCTTACTAAAGAACTTTTCTGCATTTTCTTAGCTGCTCATATGATTACTCGGGCTGACCCTTTTGAAAGGTCTTTATATAGAGGAAAGACAAGGATGGCCTAAACTAAGGATAAGTTGGAATTTTGACTAAAGGAACCAATTGTAGCCTGTTCTTCTGGGCATTTTCCTTTATGTAACATGAAAACTGTTTTCTGAACAGTGTAGGAATGAAGAGAGGTTTTGTTTTGTTATAGGTTTATTCATGTGCTTTTACCTATATAGTACCTTCACTTTTTTCCCCTAAATTCTTCTGTAGAACTTTTTTTTTTTTGCCCTCCTTCCCTCACCCCTCAAGGATTTATCTAGAAAATGTGATGATGCATTGGTACTCCTGGCTGCAGAGGCCCTTCCCACCTGCAGGGGAAAGTACTGTAGTGTAATTTCATGGATGCCTAAGTGTGGGTCTACAGCCTCCCACCTCCCGTAGTTCTTACCTTCAGGGCAGTCTCCCTTGTGCCGTGTTCCACTCCAGAAACTCTTCTGGAGCCAAGCTGCTGCTGTGATGGCCACAGTTGAGCTGGTGTTTTTTTGTTTGTTTGTTTGGTAGTTGGTTGGTTGGTTGGTTGGGTTTTTTTGTTAATTCTCACCTGAGGATATTTTTCCCATTGATTTTTTTAGAGGAGGGAGGGAGGAAGGGAGGGAGGGAGGGACATCGATGTGAAAGAGACACATCGATTGGTTGCCTCCCACACGTACCCCTACTGGGGCCGGGACTGAACCTGCAATCCAGGTATGTACACTTGTCCAGGAATCGAACCCGTGATCCCTCAGCGTGCAGGCTCACACTCTAACCACTTTGCAGCACTGGCCAGGGCTAAACTGGTGTTTTGCACCTTCCTCCTATTCCCTTGATAATCAGATTCAGCTCAGTATGTAATGAGGTATTATACGATGTGATTGTCCTTGACCCTGCCCTACCCCTCCCTCTGAAATTTTTTTATCTCATTTTGAGCCAGAATTTTTCTACCCCAAACATGCTTTCCCCAGTTACTATAAATCTTCATTGTCATATAGGAAAGGAGAAGCACACAGCTACCTTGATTTCACAGTACCTCCTGGGCCCCCTGTGCAGGTCCCACAGAGGCTTGGCCACCGTTGGACTCCCACAAATGGGGTAAACTGACTGGAGAAGGGTATGCAGTGGGGGCAGGACTGTAATGGACACTGCCCCTAGGTCAGCCCTCTGCCAGGGAGGGGACAGAAAGCGGGGGGCAGGGTGCCTGGTCCTGAAAAGTGACCCCCTATTTATGAATAAAGTATATTGTCTTGGCTATGGGTAGCCAGCCCAGAAATTACTGCCTGTCTTTCTCTATTTTGAGTGAAGAAAGAATTGTAATCTTTTCATCCATTCCTCATGAGGAGCCTGCACAGTCTCAGACAAGTCTCTTCTTTATATTTCAGATATTCTCCCCACCCGCATTACCTTGAGACCAGATAGCCCTACTTTCCTTAAATGTGTTTATAATGACACCAGTCAGCACGAAGTTATTGACATTTCTAGCCATCACTCAGCTCCATTTCTAAGTGCCTCCCTGCCACCTTTCATTGCATTTCTTTTTTTTCCTCCTTTTTTTTTTTTTTTTTGCACGGTTCTTCTCCTCAGCCATTGGCTTGTGTTCCCTTTCTTGAGTTGGGTGTCTGTGATTACTGTTCCAGATCAGTGATCTAGGTTTCCTAATGTTCTTGCCCCAAGGTTAGACACCTGTGACCTTTTACCTGATTCTTTATGACCTTGAAGGCCAAAGCAGCCAAGGAACTCTCAAAGGATTTCACTTATTTTTACTCAAAGGAAATCGAATAAGCGCCACAGTTCATTCTAGGCTGACTGCGTTGGTGTAGAGCAGGGGTGGGCAAATCCAGCCCACTGCTCGCTTTATTAATAAAGTTTTATGAAAACACTGGCACACTTAATTGTTCTGTGTACGTTCTGTGGCTGCTTTCGTGCTGTAACATCAGAGTTGAGTCGTTACCACAGACTATATGGCCCACAGAGCCTAGAACACTTACTGTCTGTCCCTTTATCAAAAAAGTTTGCTGACCCCTCTGCAGAGTTGGGTTAAATGGCTGCTTATATGAGTTAGCCCCTGTGTCCCCTGCCCTTGAGGCTGGAATGCTTCTGGAGCAAAAGGCGTGAGATCACTGTGTCTGTTGCTGTAGCTGACAGAGCTGCGTGCTGTTGCCCTTCTAATGGCATGTGCTTGGTGACACCTCTTTCTCCCTTCCCCCAGTACAGCTGCCTCTTACAGGCAAGTCCCTGCCACACTGCCACG